TTAAGGCAGCGTGGGCTGTGTGAGAGCGAAAGAGCGCAAATGCGCATGCCCGCGCATGCGCACATGTGTTCTTATCTGGGGCTACCATGGTAAACGTGTTGTTTCCTGAGTAGGCAGTGAAAGAAGGTTCTGATTCCTGACAACAGCTTCTTAAAGCCGTAGAGAAACACCTGTTCATTTCCCACAGCCAACTCTTCCCGTCTCATGAATTATCACTTGATCACCACTCTTCACCGAAACCTAGTGATAGGTGAGAGTCCTTCAGTGGGAAATCTCCTTGGTGTTGCCCTCTGTACCTGAGATGCCGGAATAAGAAATCAGACTACTATTTAGAGGGAATCTTCAAATGCATGAATTTTATGTAATGTGGTGTTCTGAATAATGTAGCTAGAAGCCCTTGGGGCACACTTTTAATTTAACAACAAAAAACTTCTGATAGCCTTTCTTAATAATCTCCAAAGTAGTTAAATAAATTTGTTTTTATCTCCTCTAATATGTACATGTAAATCAATCTCTCTTGCTTCCTCCACCCTCATTTACTGGTTTCATTTCTTGTTAGAATTTTTTTTTTCTTGTTAGAATTTTCAATTTGCACTTGTTGTCGAACAAGTACTAGGTATATACTCTAATAGTCCCTGTCTGTGTAAAGCCACAGGATAGGAGGCTGCGAGTTTCTAGTGAATTCATGGCAGATTAGACAGAAGACCTGGTAAAGCCCTATGCTGGGGTAGGGCTCTTTTATATCCTAGGTCCTCTGTGGGACAACTGTGTCACCAGGGATGCTGTGGCAGGAAATGACTGATTTTGTTGCCAACCTCGAAGACCAAAATATAATCTCAAACATTCCGTGCTCTTTTAATAACTCATTAGAAATCTGTCGTCCATGACTTTGTTTAAATCTTTTTGAAGCTATTTTTTACTTAGTGGATAGGAGCTTTTTGAGTAATAAGTTCAATAATTTTACAACTGGTGACCTGCTCCTGTCACCTGGGTGCACTACACTGACTGGCTTCACCTCCCAGATCCACTTACACTTTTCTCAACATGGGCATTTTTGGCAGAACCAGAGTCACCAAAAAAATGGTTGCAACCCCCTTAACTCACATGCCTTACACATATGGTCCCCGATTCTGTCATTCTTTGCTGTTTGGTCTAGAAAACTTTCATCTACAGAATAATTTTTAGGACTATGTTTTACTTACAGAATCCAGATAAATACAAATTTAGAGGTTTTCAGTGGGTTTGTTTTGTTTTATGCTTTCTTTTTAGGGTTATTTTATTTAATTTTTTGAAAAGATTTTATTTATTTGAGAGAGAGTGAGAGAGAGAAAGATCACAAGCAAGGGGCGGGGCAGAGGGAGAAGCAGACTCCCCACCGAGCAGGGAACCCGATGCGGGACTCCATCCCAGGACCCTGGGATCATGACCTGAACTGAAGACAGACGTTTAACCGACTGAGCCACCCAGACGCCCTATTTTATTTTGAAGGACCAAGAATGATAATGTATAGAGGGACTATCCCACCAAATATACAGACACCTTGGGACTTCTCCCTCCTGCTAACCATTTTAGGGGCACCTACATGGAAGTTTAGTGTCCAAAGCCTTAGAAAGCAAGAACTCCTCAAAAGCTAGTCTTTACCCACTTTATCAGCCTCTTCTCCTGTCTCTATAAACCGCACTCTTAAGCTACACTGGGCTACTTATTTGCTAGTCCCAGAGAACTCATGCTTCTTATGTCTCCAGGCCTTGGCATATGCTGTTCCCTTTGCTTAGAATTACCTTTGTCAGCCATTAAATAGAACAGTTCAAAATCTAACTTCTCCACAACGTCCCATTCTAGGTTCTTAGACGTCACCTAAGTCACCTCTTAAACTGTAATCACATAGACCTTTGCTCGCACCTTTCTTTTAATAGGTTTTAGAATTCGTTGTCATTTTTTTGTTATGTGCCCATTATCTATCTAGACTATTAGTTCTTCCAGAGCAGAGACCACATCTTCTTATAATTAGCAATCTAGCTTATCCTGGTACAATAGGTAATCAAGTTGAGTATTGAAAACATGAATGAGTGAGAGCACAAATGATGGTGTGCAGGGCTGAGAGGATTCGTACGAATAAACCAGCTCACTCACACACATATACACACACCACGCATGCGTAAACCATGTACGCATAAGCAGCACGCACATGTGCACAAAGTGCATGCGCGCGCACACGGGTCTCGGTAAACTGGAGCACCAGGCAGAGGCTGGGGTAAAGTTGCAGGTGTAATTTTTTGTATTAATGTCCTTAATCAATTTTCTTCCTTGTCTGAAAGTCATGAATGCTTATTGCTACTTTTCTCCTCATACATTAACCTAGATTTTTCACAAGGGAATTCATTTTAAATATCACTGGCCTGGGATTTGCTTGTTCTACTTCAAAAGAACATTCAGCTATTTTTATGTATGCAATACAAGGATATTAGATGAAAAATATAAATACCCACACATGCTGCTTACCTTCACCTTCTGGAACATTAAATATTCAGGAAAATCAGGCCCACCATCGATTTTTCCATAATACCCCAATCTGTATCATTAGTTGGCAATCTGTCAGGCCAGTTTCAACTCAAGTGACAGACTTCACGTTCAAATCAATTTCGATTAATTTTGTAAGAATCATTTAGAGAAACGTGGCATCAGACCCCTGATTTAAATCAAGATGTATGGCATCCTCCACTTTTCATTTATCTTGTCATTTTATGAGGAAAATGCCATCTTTTGTCTGGCATTTTTTAATATACATATAAACCCATGCTGCTTATCACTCCTGGTTCCATTATCCCCAAGATAGTCACTTTTTTTCCCTCCTAACAGTTGCTCCATTATTTTATTAGTGTCCAAAACGAGACCTCGCAGACAGTGATGATCAGAGAATAATGGAAATTAGAGATGGAAATGACAGATTAGGTCTCCTTGTCTGTTTCCTGGGGCTAATGTTCCTGTCAGTCTGCAACTTGGTGCTTTAGCCTGTCTTATTTTAAATGACACCAACGTGGGGCCCCCACCAAGTCCCTGGAGGCTCTTGTCTACATCCCTAAGACTGCCTCTACAACGCAGCCAGAGGGGATGACGAACCCTTGTGCAATTACCAAGTGAAGCCAGGCCGTCCTCGCATGATCTGTCTGCAAGGCGAGGGATGTGGAGGCTTGAGCGATTAGCCACCAAATCCAATCACTGCAGAGGGCCAGCCTGGATCATTCAGGGCAAAAAGCGAAATGATATTTTGTCGTTTTCTTCAGGAGCAAGTTTGCAGGCTAAGAGATAGAGAGCTGGTTATCCATCACCCTTTACAACATTTTACTCAGTAAGAATCATAGCCAACTGAGATGCTTGGCCATCACGTAGGCTAAAATCCTGGCTCCCCATCCGTAATGCAAACGTTTCAGGGGTCAGAGAGTGAAGGGACTAAGGTGACTCTAAACAGTGAATGGCCCTCTGTATTCATACCCCACCTGACATCTATTAGCTAAGTCCTCGGCCCTCCCCACTCATCTTTCAACAACACACAACCTCATGTGTATTTATACCCTCTACAAACACCTTCCTCCAACTCCAGGGGACAGCCTCTCTGATATGATCTCAAGTTCAACAGAAACAGACCAATCCTTCACTTTCACCAACAGAAGAATTCCATGGCATTTTGACTTCCTCAGGTTTTCTGACCTGTGACTCAGATTTCCTTCCCCTAACTTCATTCTCTCTTGTCCTTATTCCTCAACCTCAACCAGTTCCAGAACATTTGCCCTCTTCTAACGTCGATGGGAATCTATCATGCCTTGACGTAGTCATCAGCTGGCCAGTTCTCCGAGTTGAGTCCTTCTATCCTTCATCATAAATCACTCCCTTGGGCTCTTCGATCATTTTTATTACTCTTCTCCAAACTCTCACCCATTTGTCTCCATATTTATTGCTTTGAGAGTCCAGAACTACACTCCTTATTCTAGGCTCAGTCTCATCAGGATCCTACAGAGGGGGCTGATCATCGACCTCGGGGATAGGAGTCCTCCATGGCAATGTATGAAATGATGGTGGTGCCTTTTTTCCACCTTGTCAGGCTGCAAACACACTTCCAACGTGCACATAAGCAATCACTCTCAGATGGCTTGTGCCTTGATTTCTTTCTAGTGTTCCCTGTTCCATTGACTGCTATTATTAGTTAGTGTTTATTGATCCCTTTCTCTTCCCACCCTGCTCCATGAGTGAGTCAATGCAGAAAGCAGGCTCTCAGCACCCAAAATGGAGTAGAAAGTTGCCTCTAAAAAGCGAAGGAAGACACTCAGTGCTGATGGCGGTGCAGCAATGTGAATGATCTTCATGCCACTGAATGGTACACTTCAAAATGATTAAAATGGTCAATTTTATGGGATGTAGATTTTATTAATTTTTTAATGTAAAAAAAAAAGAAAAAAACAAGACAAGGGAACTCTTCTCCCAGTCATGTGTGCTTGGGGGAAAGCAAAGGTCTCAGAAAGAAAGGGTGACTGGGGATCTGGCAGAAGTACCCTTACGTCACCCGCACGTCATCCTGGCTGACAGTGATGGGGAAAACACGTTTCTCCTCATGTCCATCTCTCAAAGCTCCTCGAGCTCTGGGAGAGCCACACGGGAGTCTGTGTGGCTATGTGCATCTCCAACAAAATCATCAGCTAAGTTCTGCCTGTGGAATCCTGGTGGCTGGCGGTGGAATGAAAAAGAAGACAGGGACAGCTTGATTTTCAGATCCCAGCTGGAGGCTGTGGGGCTGCGAGTCAGAGGCATCATCTCTGAACTCGTAAATGGAGAAAAAGATGACACGGACGTCACTGGAATGGTATAAATATGGAAATGCATGGTGACATTTTTACCCATTCGCGATTCAGAATATAACTACCCTTTAGCTCCCTTCCCCTGCACGCTATGGCTCCAAAGAAGGGTGACATCAGGGAACTGGCTCACTTGCCATCCCCTGCACTTACCCCTGGTTTGTGCCCCATTCATTCCGAATGCAAAGGTGCTTGTGTACTGGATCCTTCATGTAACCTTCGTAGCAGAGGCATTCCCCTTAGAAGCAGCGTAGGAAGAAGAAATATGAAGCAATTGATTAACATGTCTGTTTGAGAAAATGAATATGAAATGATCAGATTAAACTCCGACTCTAATAGTGGTGTGGATGAAAAAATAAATCCCATGTCACACATCCCCGTCTCTACCACCCACGTGAATGAACACACCCTCAGTCTCTCCATTTTCTACTACGTGCTGATTTTCACTAGTGGAGGAACCCAACATTTACAAAGAACCTACTATATGTGCTCTGTAAAAACAAAGACCAAGAACTCTTTGAGCAAAAGGACTTTTTCATCCTGATTTGCTCAGTGCCTAGTCTCCTGCCAGGCACATGTTAGGTGATCAATGAGTGTTTAAAGAGCACCTAAGTGACTTAGTTCATCAAATATTTCTAAGAAACTTGAAAAGTAGGTGTTATTAGCTGTGCTATGCCGATAGGGGAAACTGAGGCTCAGAAAAATGAAGGGATCTGGAGACAGCTTAAGGACAGTCAACATTTGAATCTGTGATTCTCTGGCTCTGGACCTTTATTCCCACCATGCTGTGCTGTTAGCCCACGGAACAACTCCATGGTTAGAGGAGGCCACTTATACCTGTTACGGTCTGGGTTTTTGTTTTCAAATGAAAATGGCTAATGATTTTGGAGCTGTTAAACAGAAGAACCATCCACAATTCTCTATTTGTTTTGGATATTACTATGCTTCATTACCACTAGTTACTCCATTAATATACCAAGGGGTTCACAACCCCTCTGGAATTGTATGCAAAACAGTGTATGTGTGTATGTGCATCTTCCCATGGCAGGGTTCCATAACATTATTCTGATTTACGAGCAAACTCGAGACCCCCAAAGATGAAGAATCATTGCCTGACTTAGCACTGATCTTGAAAAAAATTGCTCCTGTTCCCTTATATTAATAATTCGTTATGTAATGTTATGTATCCCTAAACTGCTGAGACCAGTCCCACTTCAGCACGAGTGTTAACTCTTTCACTGGCTGGTTAATTCGTAGGTGGTAAAAGAACAGGGTGTGACTTCCTATAATTGGTAAGTAACAAAAGTGGCTTACCCTAAGGAGACAAGGGGCATACAGTTTCTTCATCCTTCTATCAAGAGACACTTAAAAAAGGATACACATAGAATAATAGCTTTGAGTGCTATTTTCTCTTTTCAAAGACAAAAACCAATAAAAATGAAGCAAAGGGGCCCCACAGGTATGAGGGAAGGGGTTGGGTAGGTTCTAAAGCAATGAGTTTTTTGTTAAGATCTAAGCTTAACCATTCCTTTCAAGATGGACTTGTAAGCTACTCCCCTTCAGGGCCCCACTACCAGATAATGCTCATTTTCTTCCCCCCACACCTGCTTAGCTCCAGGTGCTGAGGAGTTAAGTGAAAATCAGCAACTTCTTAGTTTGTGGGGGCTCTACCCAGACTATGAGGTCAGTACTCTCTTTCCTGTATGGAACACTCAGGCTTCACACGAGTTAGATTCACAATAGGATCAAATTCACGGGCTTCAGGGGTGCTGAGCTGTATCTAGGAATGGTCAGGGAGGTAGGGGTGGAACATAGGAAAACAAAGCTTGAAATTAGGAAGATGATAATAAAGCTTTCAGATGAAGAGTGTTTCTCTGGGAAAAGGAAAGATAAGAAGGCAAGTACCAGAGGGTCATAAAAGAAGAAAATCACCAAGGAGCCACGCCCCCTATCTTACCAATCTCAAGGAAAGCAGGGGTTCAAGACTATAAGCTACACAAGGGCAGGAACAAGGTTTGTTTTTCTGCATGAGTAGTGATTTTGTACATAGTGTATAATGGAAAATTAATTAATTAACTTAAAAATTTTACCCTACATTTATAGATAACACCACTACCACCATTCTTAAGATAGCAAGATCAAAGGCAATTAATGGGTCTAGGGCACAGACATGCTTCTCCCCTCAGAAGATCATCTCCTGACTGTCCTTGTGTGACATTAAAAACCACCTAGTAACCTCAAGAGGTTGTCGGACCCATCACTCGGAGTCTCAGAGGGGTCTTGACTCGAGGCCTTGCCCTAGAAATAAGGACTGACAGAAAAGGGAGTCCTTCCACGTTTGATATCTAGTTACCACAAAACATGTAAAAATAAATGCACCAACAACTCAGAGTTCAAGCAGAGCCCAATTTTCCTAATGATGGCAATATGTACCACTTGTAGAGCGCATTTACCTTTCTCAAATTGCCTTCAAAGTCATTATCTTCTTATGATGTTTCATCACTCATGACTATGTGGGGACACCGCCGATAAGAGAGAAAGCTTTCCTCCGTATAATGTCATGTGCAGCCCAAAGTCAGAGCAACAGAGACATTTTCAAACATATCAGGCTCGAGTTTGAGGAGATCCAAAATCTGCCTCTCAAATGATCCTCATTTCCGGAACCCACCAAACGTCTCCCTTCTGCCTTCCTCCTCAAAACCAGTTTGGCCATCTACACCGAAAGGAGTTCAGACTTGATGAGGAAAGTTGCTATGGCAACCAAATGCTAAATCTTGACTTTAAGAGGGGTTTCGTGCAAGCACGAGCTCCGACTGTTAGCTGTGAATTTTAAAGACCCCACAAGGGTGTTGGATGCCCTCCTAAGCTAGAAGTGTTACAGTCTCTGCATCTGCTGTGACAGATGGCGGGGAACACATGACGTGCCGACTCGGCGGCGGTGTTCGCAGGAATCCAATGGAGAGACGTGTCACGGCCACGGAGAAGTGCCCGGCTGGGAGGGAGTGTGCCCTGCAGGAGGCATGCACGGGTGACCGCACTACAGGGAGGGCCAGGAAATGGCGACCCTGGATTTGTGCTTGGTACTCTGAGGTTGGATGCCGTGAAGTATGGCATGGTGGCATTTGTATGGTGCCTGTGCCTTCCCTCATTTCCCATTCTACAGGTCAAGGACTGAGGGGCAAAGCTCATCAAAGGATTGACGCAAGACCTTGGAGCTAGGGCTCCTCAGACACGACTGGGCTGGACTTGACCGCACCAAAAGCCCCGAGTCACCTATCCTTCAGGTCTCCGTTGGCTTTTATTAAATGGAACTGGGTGATGTACTCCCTCTGAAAAGGGAAATCTCTGGAAGACATCTGGACTTGGGTAATGTCTAACTGCCTGGCCTCCCCCGCTGTGGAGACATCAGGCAAGAGGCAGGCCCAGAGTCAAATAGCCCCGCATGACTCTGGGTGGGCAGACAGAGGGGAATATGCCAAAGTATGTCTTGAAGGAAGGTGCTTTCATGGAGCCACAAAAGGGAGTCTGGAAAGAGTGGGCAATCCACGTGGCAGGAACAAAATGGGAGCTCTGCTACCCTGCCAAATTGGGTTCGAGAGAGAGAGAGAGAGAGAAAAAGAGAGAGGCAGTGGTTCAGACCAAGGGAAGGAGAGGAAGACTAGATTGAGTCTGGAAAACTGTCCAACGCCCCTCGCCAAATCTTACATATTTCTCTGTGGTTAGAACTGGCTTCTAGAGAGATCTGGGGTAGAAGGAATGCCTGTGGATGGCAATCTTGGATGGCAATTAAAATTTGATTTAGCTTGGGAGCCTGTGCTCCTTGCAGACCCATAAAAGCTACATATCTTGAAAAGGGGAGTGAGGGTCTGTGGCCAGGGCTGGTGGGGGCTATGAAATCAAGTAGGTGTGTGAAGTCTCCTCAGTTGCCCAACAGGCAGAACAAAGCTGGGGAATGGAAGGGTAAGAAATGCCGCTGAAACCAGTTAGTCTGTGTTTCCATCAAAAGCCAAGCAAGCGAGCAAACAGACAACCGTAAGAAAAACCTTGGAAGGCATAGGAAAAGTCAACCTCTGGCTGGCTCCAGCTAGGGCAGTAAGCCATTCAACCTCAGCGGTTGGCTGTTAGCCTGCCTGGGCCGGAGACACACCTAGGGTCACAAACCTGGGAGGATCTGGGGAAGAATGTCAGTGTGCAGTTGGCCAAGAGCTTTCAGGCACTGGGCTCACAGTTCTAGGTACCTTACATCCCTCCCAAACAGTGTGTTGCTAGAATGTAGAAGGGAGGCTATAAGGGAAAACAGATCAGCAAGCTTCCTCCAGCTTCAGTTCTTCTGTAGACTCCCGACACATTTTTGGAAGGTGTATGTGGCCTCTATCAATGGGGCTGGGGAGCTACAAAGAGGAGCATAACGACGCTTGTCCTTTCTCTGCCCTTTTCCTCCTCCTGTTTCTACAGGTGCCATGACAATGATCACAAAGTTAGTGGTTGAAACAGCCCTAATTTATTATCTTACAGTTCTGTAGGTCAGAAGACTGACATAAGTCTCACGGGACTAAACACAAAGGGGTCCAGAGGGCTATGTTCCTTTTCGGAGCCTCAAGAGGAGGATCTGTTTCCTTGCCTTTTCCAGCTTCTGGAGACTGCCCCCATTTCCTTAGGTCGTGGCCCCTTCCTCCAGTTTCAAAGCTGGCAGTGGCTGGTGGGGTCCTTCTCGTATCTGGTGTGGTAGGGTCTGGTCTTCTCTTCTGCCTCCCTCTTCCACTTTTAAGTACCCTTGTGATTGCACTGGGCCTGCCTAGTGGATCCAAGATACTCTCCTCGTTTTATTTATTTTTTTTTAAAGATTTATTTATTTGAGAGAGAGCGAGAGAGCTAGAGTGAGCGGGGGAGGGGGGCAAAGGAAGAGAATCTCAAGGGTGGACTCTCCATTGAGCAGGGAGCCCAACTCAGGGCTTGATCTCACAACCCTGAGATCATGACCTGAGCCGAAACCAAGAGTCGGATGCTTCACCGACTGAGCCACCCAGGCGCCCCTACTCTCCTCATTTTAAAGCCAGTTGTTTGGCAACCTTAATTCATCTTTGCCATTTAACATAACTCATTCACAGGTTCTGGGGATGAGGAGGAGCCCATCTTCGGGGTCCCAATATTCTGCCTATCACAGCTGCTATTCGGGACCACTGTGCAGGTGATGAGTAAACACGTGCTTAACTCTGGAACCCTCTGGAAGGCTGCCTGAGGAGAGCTCCAGGCCCCAGAGGATGCTCTTTTGCAGTGACTGAGCGTGTGTGTTTGTGTGTTTGTGCAGCGCGTGTGTGAAGAAGTACACACGTGCACTTGCACAGTCCCACATCTCCATATGGGCAGACCCCTCAGCATGGCTGGGAAAGCACATGTCCCAACACTATGACATTTCCAAGTGAGTTAGCTGGAGGGTTGCAAAAATAACGTCGGCTTGACTTGCAGCCAATTCCCACACTCAGCTCTTTGGAGAAGGGCTCTAGGATGGAGTGTGGGAGGCGATAAAGTTTCTTACTGATGAGCGTGTGGGTTGACCACATCATCCCACGTGCGGGAAGAAGCAGGGCGGGAAGGGGGACGGCTTCCTTTTCTAACATTAATGAAAATAAAAGTCTCCGCAGCAGCATTTCTCAGCTGCCCCCCCAAAATGAAGATGTTGCACCTTAGTTCTCTGGTGTGGGATCTGGGTTCCTCTCTGCAGTCTCCCTCCTGGCCTTCCAGTTGGATATTCATTAATTGTCACAGATACTGGGAAACCACTAGCAGAGGAGGGCTTCCCACAGTCATTTTCAGCAAGGATTAGAACTGAGATGTCTGGGAAGACTGAAGAAGCAGATGATGGGAACTTCACTGTGGACAAGGAGTTGCCCCAGCTCCTGGCTCGGGAAGTATGCTCAGTAGTGATGGCTGCTTACATAGTCTTCCACGACAAATATGTTGGATCTGACATGTCTAGGGAAATCAAGCAGCCCTTGGAAATCCCACCTCTGCTCTGACTTCATGATGGATGGAACACGGACTATGTCTTAGGAAGCCGTGGGGCTTTGGGTGAGTTATGTATATTCTTGGGGGAATTCACACAGTGATCTCAAGCAGCTCATTTCTAAGACCCCTCCATGCTCAAAACACCAATCCCTTCCCCCCGCCCCCACATGTAATTACAAGCGCTTCCTGTTCTTTAAAACCTCAGGAGAACCTTCCAAGGCCCTCTGGAGATGAGGCTTGTCTCAGAAGTGAGTTGAAGCCCTGAGCTTGTCCCAGGATCTCCCACTCCAACTCAGCCGGGGGGGACCAGAGACCAGCTCTGCTGAACAGAAAGGCCCCGCCTTGGAGACGAGCCTTTTTCCCTTTCTCCCGAGCGCGCACTGGCTTTTGGGCCTGGTGCACAGCCCATCTGTTTGATTTGGTGTTTGCCTGACAGCGTGGGAAGAGCAGTAAGTAAGCACAGTCTTAGACATCAGATGTTTAAAATTCTATACTTTCTCTTCCATATGGGGGCCTGGAATCTCTACGATGGGCCCAGGTGAAAACAACTCTTAGAACAACACCTAAGAAGGTGAACATTGGATGTTGCTGCCGGCTGTTACCCTCCCAAAGACATACAGCAATGCATTGTAACAGAAGCAGGGCTCTAATCTCTTGAACTCAATCTCTACTAACAGCCCTCCACCCCACCACCTGAAAGAAATGCATCTGTAGGGGTGTGTGTGTGCATGTGTGTGCATGTGCGTGCATATGTATGTATGGGTATATGGGTATGTTTGTGCATGTACATGTATATACGTGTGTGCGTGTGTGTGTGTGTGTGTGTGTGTGTGTGTGTGGTGGAGAAAAAGGGGCTGTACATGAGGTACAGAGAGTTGGAGGAATTGGTCCCCAACTCCCAACATTTCCCTTGGGGGTCTTAGCTATCATTACATGGCTTCCTTTGTTCTAGGGCATCACACTTCTCTGGGAAGGATCTATTTGTGGTACTGAATCTGCTGGAACCAGGTCTTTATGAAGACTGTTGTAGATGAACACCTTCTACAAGGAAAGTGCACAGCCACTTGGAAGGAGGGGCCCACACTCCTCAGGATCGCGGAGCTCACGAAGCTCTGGGCGTGCCCTCATGCGAGCCGTGTCCGCGTGTGGACCCTCTCAGGGAAGCCCCAGCCCCATCCGATAACATGACGGCCTCAAAGATGTCTCTCCCCTTGGCCCCAGTCATCTCTCTCCTAGGATTTTTCTGAAGAAAATAACTTCAGATGTGCCCTGCATTTATGTGGAAAGATATTCATTTTGGTAGTATTTGTAAAAATTAAAAATTTAAAGCATCTGAAATGTCAAATAATAGGGAACTATTTAAATGAGCTATGATATGGACATACAATGGAATACCAAATAGCCATTAAAATTATGTTATTAAGAATTATTTAATGGTTCTGGAAAAACTTCATGATAGAATGTGAAGTGAAAAAATCAAGAAAACACTAGTGGACTTAGTGTGCTTGTAAGTCTCTAAAACTCATACACAGATAAAAGATCGGAAGGGAGGACGTTACAATTTTAAAATGATTTCTTCAGGAGATAGAATTATAGATGATTATCATTTTTGTCTATAAGCTTTTCTAAATTTTCAAATTTTCTACAATACACATGCATAAAAATGCGAGCCCCAGCAGCTGACATCCGCTGATGGGATGGTAAATGGATGGTGCAGGTCATCTTGAACTGGCCTGTCTGGGGTACAGAGTACGAGCTACAGATAGGATATTTCCAAGGCTTCTGCCAGAAGACAACACATTTTAAGCCAACATGCTCAGGGTCCCAACCACACACTGGCAGCGTGCACAGCCTAGGCCCCCGAAGGAAATGGAAACATCGGGAGACTACGTCTGGATTTCCAGGGGGGTGATTGCAAGAAGCATGAACTCTGACAGTTACCCGCTGCCCGGTGCTCCTGCCTACCAGTTTCGGGGTCACATTGGTGTTCACAGGGGTCCAGGAGCCGCCGGGCACAGAGGTCCATGGCCCAGGGCCCACTGGAGTTCTGTTGAGAGAAGAGCACCACTTGAGCTGGGTTCAACCAGTCACTGGCATCCAGCTGGCTCCCCTCCAGCAGGATGAAGCGGCTCCCTGCAGGAGAGAGAGAGGAGGCATGCCTGTGGGTGCACACAACAACACACATACACACACGCACACGTGTGTGCATCAGTCAAGACAGAGTAAAGGATGCTCCACAGATTAGCCCAATCCGAGGTCATGACTCCTACCAGCCCTAGCCTGTCATGAGCCCCCAAGCAAAGGATCAGCAGATGGAGCCTCGGCCACCACTTGGACCTCCTGCTGCCCTTGCTCCATCATCCCCTGCTGCTTTGCTCGATCCCATCTCTATTAGGGTGGACCTAGGGAATACTGGGACAGAGCAGCTCTGTGATGGCCACGGCATGGCTCCATCAGACCCAGCCACAGGCACTGGCATTCACCCAAGGAGCGGGGACCTGCTGCCTGGTCTCCACTTGCCATGAAATAGCAGGCCCTCTAATAACACGGACAGTCCCCACCTGTTTTCAGCCTTCCAGCAGCAGAGAGAAGAGATATTAACAAGTCAATTAGGTACTCTGGGCTTCACAAATTCAGGGCCTCCTGAACCCGTACTACTCCTTAATTACACTGGGGTCCCCCTGAATGAAAGGAAATTGTTGCTTCAGAGTTCTAGGCTTTTAGCAAGTTACTGCAATCAGGAATTTCTTACCCGGGCATACCAAACCGAAGCATGGCTGATTCTTAATCATATCCACAGCTCCACTTAGCTTCTCCCTTCCCCAAAGCCAGAGAATCTCTCGGTGTCTATCTACCTGTATCCAGCATGCTCTGTACTTCTCTACAAAGACAGGGACTTATTTTAAAGCAAACAGAAATGAGAAATTGGAGTGGGCATAGAGAAGAGGAGGTAATCTGTTCAATTTTATGGTTTTGTTTTTTTTTTTAATCTGCTTTCTGATTTCATCTGTGGACAATCCAAATTTGCCCTAAGCCTTACTTATCTGGGTTTATTTTTCCCTCACTTAGAGTAATAAGTAACAGTGACCCCTGGCTTCTCTATCTTCCTGGCCCAACGTGAAAACTTCTCCTTTGTGGAGGAAGCCGCATCCTCGCAAGCAAGCTTACCATCGGCGATCAGGTGCTCGGGGACGTGCAGGGTGATTTTGACAACGAGGGGGCAGCTGACATGGGAGGAGCACACGAGGCCGATCACACAGCTGGTGATGCTGATCAGCGTCAAGGTGGTCTTATTCACAGGACTTCGGGGAGAGCCCACTGGAAGCAAGATACAAGCAAGACACATTGCGGTAAGAGTCTTGGCAGTGGGAGGCCAATCTGGCTCTGCTGCCCAAACAAGCAAACAGGGGAGGCGGTGGGCAAACCTAGCCCAGGCAGGGAATGTTCCGGCTCATAACCCCAGTGAGCTTCATCCTCATGGAACACCATGTCAGCTGCTAGAGTCAGGGGGGCTTAGCCTACTGGTGGCCCTTGGGGTCAGCAACAGTCAGTTCTGTGCAAGTTCACTGCACTCTTCCTGGGACAGGTTCACAAAGAAATCATAAAGGAGGGCATTCTCCCCCACTGCTCGCCTGGCTGAGCTCCAACCTCTTGCCCAAGGGTGGCAAGGATGCTTTCACCACGTGCTAGAACTCTCTGCGCTTCTCCCTGCTTCTTGCACAGAGGGCGCTCTCACAAACCAGCTCCTTCCTCCCACGGCTCAAACTACTTCTCCAACTGCCTCTTGAGGAACTTTCCAAGCTCTGTGGGTGGGAGTCCTACAGGTGACTCTTTGTCTATAGGACCAGGAAGGAGGAAAGTCTGCTCTGTATGTGTAGAGGATGTTGTCATGCCTGAAGGGCCCCACCAGTCCTGCAGTCAGAGATTATAAATGGCAGCTTAGTGAGCAAATAAGGATGCTGAGGAGACAGTTGCAGGCAGGTGCGGACAGGAATAGGAAGGAAGGTTTTTGTGCAGAGGATAAAATGGTAGTAATAAGAGGGACATTTCACATGGAGGCAGAACAGATGTGGGAAAGTAAGAAAGCAAGGCTAGTGGCCAACAAAATGTGTCCTTTGTCATTTTCTTATGGTCTAGTCTGTGTTGGCATTTATGACTGATAGAAATAAAAGGCAACTATTATGTCAGACATTGGGTGAAGTGCTTTGCATATTATTTTATTTTTATTATTTGCTTCCTTAGAATAAATCTAGGAGTCTGGACAGTAACTACCCACTTCACAAGTAAGGAAAATAAGTCTCAAAGAGATCAACCTCATAGTGACAGTTAAAATTTATGAAGCGTAATTATGTGTCAGGTGCCAGTGTGCAGGCTTTATGTGGCTCATGTCACTTAACAATGACCACGGTCTGATGAGAAAGTTCCCACAAGGGACAATCAGAGAGGCGACAGGGCACGTACAGGGTCAAGCTGCTACTAAGGAGCCGGGATCGAGGCAGGGGTCCAGCTGAGGCGGCAGCCCCCCGACAGGGCACTACTCAATCTTTGGGCCCAGGGGAGTCTTTGGAATGGCTCTTCTCGGGACTGCAGGGAAGATTTGGGTCCATGCGCTGCACCCACCCATTATGGCATCAGGTGCCCTGAGTGGTGTGCTGGCAGGAGCTGGGATGAGAAACTGCAGGGTGGCAGGCAGCCTCTGGGATCCTCTATCCCTTGCTACCTAGAAATATTCTTTTCACCTTAGGATCCTTTCACCAAGGGGTCTATTTTCCCACACTTACAAATCTCTATCCCCAGCCCAAACTGGGCCTGAGCAGCAACAGATCTGCCACCATCCAGCACATCTCCCAGGCACTCGAATGTGAAACTGGACTCTCCTGCTTCCTCCGATTTCCACTACCCGGAGAATGGCACCCTGAGCTACTTGGTTTCTCCGGTCGGAAAACTCCACCTTGTCTGACCCTGCCCTCCGTTACAGAAGCCATGACCCTCCCCGCTTCCGATGCCATTAAATCTGGTTCCATCTTGTGTCCAAAGTTTCTCTTGCCTTCATTCTCTCCAACCCGACCCACGCCCGGCATCGTGCACCTGGATTGCAGCAAGAGCCATGTGCCCAGTCTCCCTGCCTCAACCTCCCCCATCATCGCCTACCCTCCGCAGGGGCTCACAGGCACCCTTCACAAAGCAGAGCGGACCAGGGCAACACTCTTGAAAAGCCTCCAGCGGCACCAACCAAAGCGTTAGGTCCGAGTCCTCCGGTCAAGGCGCGTGCTGTCTCCTGATCGTCCAGCCTTTTTTCCTAAGCAAACCGCAAACCTGCACCGTACACTTCATTCTAGTAAACTCTTTCCCACTCTCTGACTAGACCATTATCGTTTATGTCTCTTTGACTTTGCACATATCATTTCCTCCTCTGCAGAATGCCATTTTGTCACCTTGTCAGCCCGGTACACACCTACTCTTCAAGCCTCAGCTCCAACAGCATCTCCTTGTAAACACTTCCCTGAGACCTTTAAGAGCAGATTCGCACTCATCCCTTGCTGTTCCTCTAGCCCTGGCTGCACCCTGCTGTTAAAGCTTTTATCATACGATGTTGTCACTGTTTCCGGGTACTTGCTCCTGCTCTCATGTGATTGCAATAACTTGCTGCTCATCTTCCTACCTCCCTGGCCCTTCTGTATCATCCAGCCATCACCCAACATCTCTACCTGGCTTCAAAATGTCCAGTGGTTCCCTGGGACCTACGGAACAAAGTGCAAACTCATGATGCAGGTGTAGTCCTCGGGGAGCTGGCCTGTTATCCAGGCCTGTCCCTACTACCCCATGGCCTATGTTCTTACACCTGCTATACAGAACTACTTCCACTTGCTTAAAAATACCATGTTCTTTTGTGCCTTCCAGGCTTTCTATATGCTATTTTCCTTACTAGGATGTCCTTACCCTAGATTTTCCTTTTTCAAGAAATTCTACACATTGTATATAACCCAGGTCTAATTATTTTCTCCTTCTTTGTCTCCTATTGCTGCCAGGTAGAATGACCTGTTCTGTCCTCTGAGTATTCATTTTACTTTATTTATAATATTAAATTAAGCCTTATCACTGTGCCATGTTTTCATAATTCTACCTCACATCACAAAGCCTGACCTATGGCAGGTGAGTTATAAAATTTCTTGCTGGCCTGATTGATGTATTCAGTTCAATTCAACAAACACTTACAAGCATCTATTATAGGCAAAATCCTTCACTGGGCACTTTGGAAAAATAAATTAGACATGCCCATCCCTAAGAAGCTTACAGTCTAGTTAATAGCAATAAACATTTGATGTACTAGGAGAGCTTGATATTTTAAAGGAAAAGTTTTATGCTGCAAAGAAACTCATTCTAATTCATTACTATGGATTTTCTTAAACAGGATTTTATTACAGCAGAACGCACCCTGCTCAGGGTTGGACAGGCTGAGGTTGACTATCAACTGTATATAAATATGTAAAGAGGATCAAGGGATCCACATTCTCACCTCAAGGATACTGGGGCATCAGACGTTAGGCTGCCCAGAGCCCCACTGATCTCTTGAGAAAAATGCTGGGAAGGAATTTTGTCCCAATAGTAGCAAAGCTTAGAGAAACTGGACCTAGGAAATTAAAAGGTTTGCTTCCAATCTCTGGGCAGAATGCCCTCAGTGTGGAAGGAACTCAAGTAGAGGTAGGAGAGAGCCAAAATATAAATGTCTTTTGCGGGGCATTGGTTGATTATTGGTTGGGGAAAAATGCCATTGGGTATAACACAGGGGGAGGCCGCTCAAACATCCTCCACTGTATCTCAACAGGTCCCTGTCCGAAATTCCTTAGGATGGAATGCTGCACAAACCTGAGGCCACACTGCAGAGAGGTCTGGGAGCAACGACAATGGGGACTGCATAGCGCTCTGCCAGTCACCCAAAAAGCACACTTTAATATAATTTAATGCTTTCAGGAGCGTGTATGTGAGGTATTGATAACACACTTCCTATATGAGGAAACAGGCTCAGAGAAGCTGTTGTTCTCCTCCAATCTCACACAGCAAGTAAACGGTGAAGCCTACTGAACCCAGACCTCCCTCAGTGACAAGAGTGCTACCAGCAAGGTCATGGGCAGCGACACCTCATCTGCCACCGCCACACCTGAACATCAGGGGCAGTGGCCCAGGGAGCGTCTGCGCGGAAGGACGGCTCTAGCAATACTGAGGAGAGTGCGTGAACTCACCGGGGCCCTGCTGGGAGAATGGAGGGGACTTGGAGGCTTGGGGGTCCCGTGATGCCGCTGGGGAGGGGATGGGGGGTCTAATACCATTACACACAGATTGAATCGCAGGCGACAGATCATTCCTCCGACACCGCCTCCCCCACCACCGCTACCTTGCCCAATCCCAAGGCCGGCGTGGCTGTGCAAGCAAGGGTACATATACCATCCACATTTTCACATACAACACACTTTATCAACTTTATTTCCTGTGTCTAAACAGCAAAATATGACTCTTGAGGCTTCCAGAAGGAATTGAGAGTCTTCTGACCAAGAAATAGCCTTTCAAACAACTTGAACACTTGTTTGAGAGCGCCATTATCTGGGAGAGATGATTCTCGGAAATTTTCCACTCTAGGCTCTTCTTTCTTCCTTAGGAGGAAACACCAGCTGTGGTCCAGGGACGCTTCCTGCAGAAAGTGGCTTTGGTCCACACAGCCCCCAGCCCGACCCAACACCTGTGCCGCTCCTTGCCTCCCCCTGCCCGGAGCCCCGCCACCCGCTGTGACCCCTCCAACCTTCCCACCTCTGCTGCGCCTCCGGCTCCGCGAGGGGTCGGTGTAGAAGGTCAGCTGGGGGTCGTTTTCTGTCTCGGGGCCAGAATCTCCTTCAGGGTTCAGGAAGGCAGAACCAGCTATAATGAAAAGAAGCACAGCACAGTCGACATCTTCAGTTTTTTCTTCACAACACCAAATCACTGGGCAAGTTCAAGAGAAAAATCGATAAAACCAAGAGCAGGCTGACTGACAATTTGGGAGGAGTAGCCACGGACGCTGGAGCTTCCTGATACCCAGATTTACTGGAGAAGTGGACCTTTTCGTGATAGCGGTCACTGGAGCCCACCCCCAGCCAGCCCAGGCTCCCCGCTCCAGCCCGAGCCGCAGCCCCCTGCCAGAGAGGGCCTTCATGGATGGTGGGTAGAAAGGGACGGAAGGGAAATTTCCCTCCTCGAAAGCTTTTCTCTGGTCCTGGAATTAATATGCATTCAATGGGAAAAAGAGGAAAAAAATAATAAAGAGAACGCAGAGAAATGTGCAAAGAGAACAACCCCGATGTCCTCTAAATCCTGTCAATCAGAGAAAAACTCTGTTCACATTTGACGTATATGCTGTCTTTTTCTGATACAGAAATAGATAAAGGTTTTTTAATCTCCCCTTATGAATGGTGTTTTGCTCGTTTTTCTTTTTCCATTTAATAAATGGGTGGGCAACTTCCCATATGAACAAATATGGATCTATCTTATCATCCTAAATGGCCGCATGATAAGACACTGGACGATCGACAGATGTGCAGGTAGTTAACTGATACCCTATTGATGGACGCTTAGGCTATTTCCATTTTTTTGCTCTTTTAAACAATGTTGTGATGAACAGCCTTTTACACACGGCTTTGCGCACTTGTCCAATTATTTCCTAAGGATTAATTCTTGTTTATGAAATTACTTGGTCAGAAGGTTTGTACATTTAAGTTTTTTGGCTAAGTAACACTCAACAGGCTTCCAGAAAGCCTGGGCTCAAACACACACCCTCTAGCCATGCCTGAGAGTCGGGGGTCCAGGATATGAATGGTCCTGCCTCTACCGATATTAAGGAAACCGCCACCCGCAAGCCCTCCCATCAGACACAGATACCTCTTGCCTTGTTGTTGATCCGCTTTCTCTGGCTGCTGGAGGTATGCGAGAGCAGAGTGGCCTGCTGGTGGTTGGAGTCCACGGGGCTGGTGGCAATGATGTTATCCTTGTACTTGTTCATCAGCGATAGCTTGGCATTGTCGCTTCCTGCAGAAGGAAAAGTCAAGGCAAATTCTTTCAGAGAAAAGGCCAAAAGAAAGTGCGAGCAAGGAAAGCTGCTTGAACCACGTAAATGGAGTTTCACAGAATTGAAATAAGGAACCTTTAAAGTGAGAGATTGGCAGAGACTAAATACTCCTCTGATTTCTGCAGGGCTACAAAATTGAGGGAGGAGAGGAGAGAGATGACAACTCAAAAGCCAAGTCAACTGATTCTGTATTGATTAGGGTCACCACATGTGGCCCACGGGCTAGAGACAGACAACAGATTCCTTTCTCTGGGGCGGCACAGAGTTTTAGAAGAAGCTGAATTTGAGTGCATTCAGGCAGAACATGTCCTCTCCCTCTTCCAACCTAGTCGATCTCATGACCCATGAAATCATGACCTGAGTCGAAACCAAGACTCAGATGCTCAATGACTGGGCCACTCGGGTGCCCCAAATTGGAGACATCTATGATGTGATTTCCCTCTTTTCAAGCCCCACTGAGGGATGCCTGGGTAGCTCAGTCGCTAAGCGTCTGCCTTCGGCTCAGGTCATGATCCCGGGGTCCTGGGATTGAGCCCCGCATCGGGCTCCCTGCTCCGCGGGGAGCCTGCTTCTCCCTCTCCCACTCCCCCTGCTTGTGTTCCTGCTCTCGCTGTCTCTCTGTCAAATAAATAAATAAAATCATCAAAAAAAAAAAGCCCCACTGAAAGTCTATATATCTTAAGCAATATTCAGTATGAAAAATGTCTTCTTTAAAGAGAATTGAGCAGTTTTTTGAGGGATCACTATCTTGGGGTTTTATGAGGAGTTGCTTATTTACAGAAGTCTCAGAGAGAGACAGGAGGGCTGCTATAAAAGAAAAGTACAGTCATTTCCTCTCTGCATTTTGTTGACCCTGATTTCGTTCAGCCCGATCAGGTCCAAGTCTTTTCCACCCAGCATCTCCATAGAAACACAAGGCATCTAAGGTCGGACAGCTTGATTGCATTCCTAATCTTCTTTGAAGAAGTACGACCCTTGTAAAGACCACAGAGGCATGGGCAAAACAACACAACCAACCACTCCCTCCCCAGACCAAGGTCTCCAGAGTCATAGAAAAGAACAGACACCTCTGTCCTCCCACTTCAGTGGATACTTAGATCACCTAAGCAAACATGTGACACGCAAAAATGCCGTACACACGCGCTGATCTTTCTGGCTAGCTTCTTATTTCCCTGGGGACTGCTCTATTATACAAGCAAAAGGCTCTATCTAACCTACTCTTCTGTTAGGGGTAAAGGTGTCTCTGCTTCCAGTGCAAAGGTGAAGTGGAGAAGGATTCGGGGTATACTTGTTCTTCTGATTTCCCGCATTAGAAAACAGCTCCTGTTGTCTCAGGAGAGCGTGTACCCTTCTGGCCCACCTGGGAAAGGGCACAGGTATATGCCATTATGCATGACAACCGGCCCCAAGACTAGAAAAGCTGTTCCCTACTCACTCCCTAGTTCCCCAAGTGGAGGAGCGACTTGCCCACCTGGGGTGAGGTCCATCCCTGCCTTTTCGTTGCAGCCCTGCAGGGAGTCCAGGGTGCGGGTGACCTGGCTGGCGAAGTCCTCCCCTCCGTTCATGCACTCCCTCTGCAGGTGGTGGCGCAGGTCTGTGATGTCGTACTCATAGCCGTCCAGGATGGGGGTCTCCCGGATGCTCAGGGTGCCACTGGAGTTGTGGCCCTGCACGCGGGCATTGCGCAGACTCTCCCGTCCGTGCCCGCCGATCAGCACAGAGGGAATGTAGTGAATCTCGTTGGCCGCCTCGGCACTGGCACTCTTCTGGGGCTGGGGCACCCTGCGGCGCTTGCACCAGCGCCGGCGAGTGTATAGGATCATCACCAGGCACAAGATGGACAGCAGCAGAGCAATCATGCCACCCTGGGAGGAGAGGACAGCAGACAGACGTCGGAAGATGGGTGAGTTTGTCCCACAAAGAGGCATCGCCCCTCCCCCTCCCCCATCCATCACTCACTCATTAATTCATTCATTCAGGTGCAGTAAGCACTTAGAGCAAGCATCACTCAGCAGCAAAGGGACAGTCTGTGGTGACAGGTGTTGAAGGAAAATGGAGAAAAATGGACCTGGGATGACCAGGGCCTCATTTAAGTGATCCACAGTTGCTTCTGACTTAGCAAACATTGTGAAAGAGAAGTCTGTGTGTGTGTGTGGTGTATATGACTTCAGTCGTAGAAACAGGGGAGAGGGTTAGTTTGTTAAGGCAAATCTGTTACGCAGAAAACTGGTTTCCAGCCAATTTTTAGCAGCAGAATCGCATCTAGTTTCTTCCTGTCTCACATCTTAAAAATCAGCCATGTATATAGATTCTAACTCTGGCTACATCAATGATCAGTGAGTGCCCCAAATCTGGAAAATCAAAGTCCTTCTCTATATAATGGAGAAGGTGCCACTTGGTCTGGGAAGGTGGTGCTAAGGACTATGTTAGGGAACGGTGCACGGTGCCTAACAGAGTGTGTCACATGGAATCAGGGATGGCCTCAGCCTGACCTTAAATGTCTCCGTCAGAGTAGGGGAAGACCATTGACAAATCCAAAGAGAAGTTTGCGTCCATTAGGGATTTACAAGCAAGTGTGTGGCGGACACTCACCATTTGAACATGACTTTTTTGGATCACTACGGCTTTAGGGGACAGCTTACTCCCACTCACGAAGTCCTGAGTGATCGATCTCCCATTCTTGCTCGAGGGAAGGATTGAGACCCATGTCCTGGAGTCAGGCTGGCAAAGGAGTTTCCTTGTGAACCCTCTCATGCTCCCAGGCCATCCTCTGAGGCCACTCCCTAAACACCAGGACTCCACTCAGTTGTCTGGCAGAGGCCAGGATGCCATGCTTGGTGACACTGAGCACCTCACCTTGACATTCGGGGGGGGCGTTTGGGGGAAAGCCTTACACACCCGTTGCTCCCCAGTGCTCAGCGGGCATAAATCTTCCAGTGCACGATCTGTATTCACTCCCCTTATTTTGGTCAATATCCCTCCGAACCTATTTCATTAGGTGGGGCTGTGCCAAATGGTTTTGCTCTCGAGTTGGGCTTCAGTCACTGCCACCCCATCCAATAAGCTAGAGATGAAAACCCCCTATTAATTCCCAGGGGGCCCACCCACACAAAGCTGGGTCAAAATTATCCCCTCAAACACATGAACAAGGGCTTTCCGCAGTCTTGTGAGAATTATATCTTGAATTTATAAAGTTCTTCTCCCGATAAATCTTCCCATTTACCTTCCCTCCCCTGCCAGCACCATGAACAAAGCACTGTGCACATGCACACACACACAGAATGTTGCCACTTTCAAACAGGCACAGAGCAGCTGAGACAAGAAGCAACAGAGTCAGTTGCCAAGTGACAGGTCACGTCAGGTGGCTTTTCAGAGACATACACTGGCCTCTAGGTTTTTCAGATTTTTCCTTTATCTGTGGAACAGTTTCTCCTGGTGAAATCTCTCATGCAAGTAGACAGCATAAATATGAGGCTGCCCCAGTTGCAGTGAGGGTGGGGGCGCAGGGGTAAGTATTCCAGGTCATGGCCAACAGTCGCCTCCCTGCAGTCCACCATCCCTCCCTGCAGCCTGCAACCTGCCCCCCCTACCAAGTGTCGCAGCCGAGCCCCTAAGCCCGAGCCCCGAACCAGCGTGCTGAGAGCCCCTGTTTGAGTCCAAACTGTTAGTTTTTCGGCAGGCCCTTTATCTCAGAGTCAGACCTACCATTCTTTCCCTCACCCCAAATTGAAACTGCAACAATAGGCAATTAAGCCACACAGAAAGAATAAGTTCCCAAGTGAGAGAAGTTGTCAGACATTGAATTAGGCTAGTGAAAGCGAGAGGTAATTTTATTCCCTAAAGAGCTATAAGAGCAGTATAAATATCAATCTCTGAGGAATGGCTGAAACACCAACTTTCTGCTCACAAGGAGGTATTCGGGGGGGCCCCCCAAGGCTTCCCCTTAATATCTCCTTTCAGATGGTCACAACGGGTTATGATTGGATGCAGCCTGAATACAGCAAGAATAGCCGTCCAGTATGGGGCTGTTACTATGTATTGGACACGTGTTCTTTTTTTTTAAATTTTTTATTGTTATGTTAAGCACCATATATTACATCATTAGTTTTTGATGTAGTGTTCCATGATTCATTGTTTGTGCATAACACCCAGTGCTCCATGCAGAACGTGCCCTCTTTAATACCCATCACCAGGCTAACCCATCCCCCTACCCTCCTCCCCTCGAGAACCCTCAGTTTGTTTTTCAGAGTCCATTGTCTCTCATGGTTCGTCTCCCCCTCTGACTTACTCCCCTTCATTCTTCCCCTCCTGCTATCTTCTTCTTTTTCTTTTTTCTTAACATATGTTGCATTATTTGTTTCAGAAGTACAGATCTGTGATTCGACAGTCTTGCACAATTCACAGCGCTCACCATAGCACATACCCTCCCCAATGTCTATCACCCAGCCACCCCATCCCTCCCACCCCCCACCACACCAGCAACACTCAGATTGTCTCCTGAGATTAAGAATTCCTCATATCAGTGAGGTCATATGATACATGTCTTTCTCTGATTGACTTATTTCACTCAGCATAACACCCTCCAGTTCCATCCATGTCGTTGCAAATGGCAAGATCTCATTCCCTTTGATGGCTGCATAATATTCCATTGTGTATATATACCACTTCTTCTTTATCCATTCATCTGTCGATGGACATCTTGGCTCTTTCCACAGGTTGGCTATTGTGGACATTGCTGCTATAAACATCGGGGTGCACGTACCCCTTCGGATCCCTACATTTGTATCTTTGTGGTAAATACCCAGTAGTGCAATTGCTGGATCGTATGATAGCTCTATTTTCAACTATTTGAGGAACCTCCATACTGTTTTCCAGAGGGGTTGCACCAGCTTGCATTCCCACCAACAGTGTAGGAGGGTTCCCCTTTCTCCACATTCCCGCCAACATCTGTCGTTTCCTGACTTGTGAATTTTAGCCATTCTGACTGGTGTGAGGTGGTATCTCATTGAGGTTTTGATTTGGATTTCCCTGATGCCGAGCGATGTTGAGCACTTTTTCATGTGTCTGTTGGCCATTTGGATGTCTTCTTTGGAAAAATGTCTGTTTGTGTCTTCTGCCCATTTCTTGATTGGATTATTTGTTCTTTGGGTGTTGAGTTTGATAAGTTCTTTATAGATTTTGGATACTAGACCTTTATCTGATATGTCATTTGCAAATATTGTTTCCCATTCTGTCGGTTGTCTTTTGGTTTTGTGGACTGTTTCTTTTGCTGTGCAAAAGCTTTTTATCTTGATGAAATCCCAACAGTTCATTTTTGCCCTTGCTTACCTTGCCTTTGGCAATGTTTCTAGGAAGAAGTTGCTGCGGCTGAGGTCGAAGAGGTTGCTACCTGTGTTCTCCTTTAGGATTTTGATGGACTCCTGTCTCACGTTTAGGTCTTTCAACCATTTGGAGTCTATTTTTCTGTGTGGTGTAAGGAAATGGTCCAGGTTCATTCTTCTGCATGTGGCTGTCCAATTTTCCCAACACCGTTTGTTGAAGAGACTGTCTTTTTTCCATTGGACATTCTTTCATGCTTTGTCAAAGATGAGTTGACCATAGAGTTGAGGGTCCATTTCTGGGCTCTAGATTCTGTTCCATTGATCTATGTGTCTGTTTTTGTGCTAGTACCATACTGTCTTGATGATGACAGCTTTGTAATAGAGCTGGAAGTCCGGAATTGTGATACCACCAGCTTTGCTTTTCTTTTTCAATATTCCTCTGGCTATTCGGGGTCTCTTCTGGTTCCATACAAATTTTAGGATTATTTGTTCCATTTCTTTGAAAAAAGTGGATGGTATTTTGATGGGGATTGCATTGAATGTGTAGATTGCTCTAGGTAGCATTGACATCTTCACAATGTTTGTTCTCCCAATCCATGAGCATGGAACGTTTTTCCATTTCTTTGTGTCTTCTTCAATTTCTTTCATGAGTATTTTATAGTTTTCTGAGTACAGATCCTTTGCCTCTTTGGTTAGATTTATTCCTAGGTATCTTATGGTTTTGGGTGCAATTGTAAATGGGATTGACTCCTTAATTTGTCTCTCTTCTGTCTTGTTGCTGGTGTATAGGAATGCCACTGATTTCTGTGCATTGATTTTATATCCTGCTACTTTACTGAATTCCTGTATGAGTTCTAGCAGTTTTGGGGTGGAGTCTTTTGGGTTTTCCACGTACAGTATCATATCATCTGCAAAGAGTGAGAGTTTGACTTCCTCTTTGCCGATTTGGACACCTTTGATTTCTTTTTGTTGTCTGATTGCTGTGGCTAGGACTTCTAATACAGTGGTGATAGTGGACATCCCTGCCGTGTTCCTGACCTTAGGGGGAAAGCTCTCAGTTTTTCCCCATTGAGAATGATATTCGCTGTAGGTTTTTCATAGATGGCTTTTATGATATTGAGGTATGTACCCTCTATCCCTATACTCTGAAGAGTTTTGATCAAGAAAGGATGCTGTACTTTGTCAAATGCTTTTTCTGCATCTATTGAGAGGATCATATGATTCTTGTTCTTTCTTTTGTTAATGTATTGTATCACGTTGATTGATTTGTGGATGTTGAACCAACCTTGCAGCCCAGGGACAAATCCCACTTGGTCATGGTGAATAATCCTTTTAATGTACTGTTGGAGCCTATTGGCTACTATTTTGGTGAGAATTTTTGCATCCATGTTCATCAAGGATATTGGTCTGGAATTCTCCTTTTTGATGGGGTCTTTGTCTGGTTTTAGGATCAAGGTAATGGTGGCCTCATAAAACAAGTTTGGAAGTTTTCCTTCCATTTCTATTTTTTGGAACAGTTTCAGAGGAATAGGTATTAAGTCTTC